AGGCTGTGTTTGATTGCAATGCAAATAAATTTGCACTGCTGTAAAACTATGGTAGTGCAAATGATTGGAGTGTAAATTCTGACCTATTTTTGTTTCAAATTTTAGTTTACTTTGTTTGATTTCAGTACAAATGAAGTAAATTAATATATGGAGCAAAATAAAGTAAAACCCAAAACAAAATTAAATGAGAATTTGCATTTCCTTCATTTGCACTCCCATATATTTATACTAGTGCAAATAAATTTGCACTGTAACCAAACACAGCCGAAAGAAAAAAATCTATTGACAAGAGGTATTATAAATGTAGGTTTACCACTTAACCTGATTAAATGGCATCCCTAGATTACTCATACCTATCACCAAGCTTACTGATGATACAATACCCCATGCTTGTGCTATGGGCCTTGCTGCAAATACACATTGCAACATTGGTCCTTGTTTGTTTTTATGATACAACTTCTTACGATTGTGAAGAAATTCTAATGAATATGGGGAATTATAAACGTACCCGGCCTTAGATGAACATATTCCTAACCTTGATCAAAGAAAAATAAAGACATTTGCCGAATATCTCATTAAAATCAATTATATATTATAACTTCATCAAGATATTGTGGGTAGTTAAATGAGCCCACCTAACAGGAGTGATCATGGACTGGACTTCTGGGCCTATAACTTTAAAAACATTATTAAGGTATAGGCTAGAATCGAGCCTGGATCAAGTCTGCAAATTTCTAGGCCTGGTTAAATTGTGGGCCGGGCTGAGCTGGCCTAGGATTGATTAGCCTATCTAACACCACGTTTGGTCTCAAACCGATCTTATGGTTGACAGGTTGAGACTTGAGAGTTATAGTGCAAGTAACTTTGCCCACATTGCAATATTGGTCCTTGTTTTTATAACCCATCGCAGACTATTCTATTTCACAGTTCTTTTATGAGACAATTTCTTACAAATGTAAAGAAATTCTCATGCTAAGATGTGGAAAAAAAAAAAAGAAAGCCACCATTGTGCAGGAGGCAATTGATATATATTATGCCAGTACTAGTTTTTGGTTTGTATCAAGGTTTAAAATATCGATATATTGGGAGTTTTCTAATATGTTTCTACAGGGGGTGTTTCGGGATCTCGATTAATTCAGGGGGTGAATGGACCTTAAACCGATCCCTCTGAACCATATTTAAAAAAAAATAAAAAAACATGTACCGATACACACTGATACACCTCTACCAGCATATTAGATAAGTGTATCAATATTTTAAACCTTGACTTATACGATTGTATCTTGATGATCTCTTGCTATATGAAACCATGGCAAATTAGCCAGTTGGATGCCTCGAAGCATCAATGCTTATTTTGCATTTGTTGGTTTCTTCTAGATTATTGTCTACAGTTCAGAATTCTTGAATATGGTCCGAGCATTTTCAATTACTTTGTGGGGGCTATGTTCTTCTCCATTACTGATGGAGGCCCATCCCAAGGCCCATATCACTCCTAAGGGCGGCAGCTCCTAGGATAAGGCCAAGAGTCCAAGATAAGCCAAGGAAGGATAATTCAAGATCCATCAAGACTCTTCCAAGACTCCAAGACTTATCAAGAATCCAAGCTTATCAAGACTCTTCCAAGATAATTCAAGAATTCAAGATTATCCCAAGATAATTCAAGAATTCAAGATTATCCCAAGATAATTCAAGAATTATCAAAATTCAAGAATTATCAAAATTCAAGAATTCAAAATTCATCAAGAATTCAAGAATTCTAGATAATCCAAGATTCATGCATGGAGAAGATCAAGGGAGATTGGATGGTGGAAGATCAAGCCCATGAATTCCAAGAGGATTCGACCTTATCAAGACAGCCCAAGAAGATCAAGATCAAGATCAAGCTCAAGACTTATGTTCTTTCCTAGTTCTTTTACAATTCCCAAATGTATTATAAATACTGCTATTTTCCCAAAGTTAATCATCAATTTCATACTTCAGATTTCAGAATTTCTTCAAGTTCTCTTCTTCCTATTTTCGCCACCTTTTCTCTCTCCTAGAGAAATCGTGTTATTCGCTAGGTGCTACCGAACGCCCGGTACTTGCATAACCAGCTCCATTTCTCATTGCTTCCACGCTACGTCAATTACTAAAAGTTTTTCTTCCCATTTCTATATTTCCTTACAATGATAAGATTTCCTGTAGTGTTATTCCTCCTCAAGAAGGTTAAAGTATCATATTCTTAATATGAGCATATCAGAGTTTACTTCTATAAATACTATTATTTTTTTTAACTTTTTTGGGTTGATAACTTGTGGCAAATATTAAAATCACGTAATTCCTTTTCTTATACAGGAATTGGGGCGAGTGGAATTCGGGATGGGGAAAAGGAGGGTGCACATATGGCACACTGACCATGCCAAGGAGACACTCTCTATCCATGGCCCACAGTCGCAAGTCTAATCCTATACCCCTTCAGGTTTGTTCACGTCAATTCTAAAATTATGTTTTTTTGTAAATTAATGTTTTAATTTAGTTTTAATCAAAATTATAGAGAAATATATAAAAAGTATCTTTACTATTTCAGTATTGTCTTTAAGTATTTAAGAATGGCAATGGGGAATAAGGTTATCTCCACGGGGATCCCCATCTCCCATGAATGATAACTATTTTGTTTTTATTTTTTATTTTATTTAAAATATATATATATAAAATAATTAAAATTTATAATCCTATTAGAAAATATTTAAATATATTTAATCATATTTCTAAAATATTAATATATAGACGTATGTGTACATATATACATATATAATGTATGCATACATATATACATATAGGTTAGTGGGAATCCCAAGGGGTGGCAATCGGGGTCCCCACAGGGTGGGGAGTGCTCTCCCTGTCCCCACTAACGGGGATAAAAATTTTCCCATCCCCATCCCCACGAGGGAAAAATCATTCCCATGCCCGCCCCATTTGGAGTGGGTCTCCATGAAGATCGGGGAAATTGGAAAAATTATCTACTGTTTCTAAGAATTGTCACTATCGCTAAATCATTAAAGAAAGAAAAAATAAGATGTTGAATTTACCCTTCACTGTTTCTCAAATTTTTAAAATAAAATCCAACTGCAAAGGGAAAGAGGGATTTTCATGTTCTTTAGAAACTCAATTGTCGCTCTTCTTGGACTTCGCTAATTCCCGGTTTATCCGATTATTGTCGTTTTCACCATCTCTTTCTTATGTCTTTCGGAGGAGCAGCGACGTTGTGTTTCCTGTCACAGCGAGGCTGTTCTTAGTCGAGTCGGTTGTGGCTTCTATTCTTGAATTCTTCGATTTCCGACCACTTTCATGACCTGAACCAGGAAATATCCACTCTCCTTGACGTTTTGCCAGTAAAGAACTTGGTCTAACTCAGGAGTCAGATCTGCTAGCGTCTGTGTCCAGATCTTCATACCAGGTATGGTTTCTTCTCAATTTCTTACAGCGGTGCTCATCCAGCTAGCTACAGGGAGATCGGACGGAGGGGCTAATCACAAGGTTGTGCTCAACCGCACTTGAGCTCAGCTGCTTCCCTTTTCGCCGCTCTAGTATATATTTCATTTTGTATTTCTGTGTATTCGCGATCAAGATCAAACGGTCACTACAAAAGAAAAGGGCTACTGACGACGTTATATTAGTGACGTTTAAGAGAACGTCACTAAAGTTATGTAATTGTGACGTTAGATGGTAACGTCAGCAGACCTCATTTTTGCCAACAGTTTTTCAAAACCGTTGCTCAAAGGTGACATTTACTTAAAATGTGAGTAACACCTCCCGCCACCTTTCAATGACGTTTATCTATGAACGTCACGAAAATAGAGCTTCCCACCGCAACACGCGAAGCACTTTCCATGACGTTTATTTATAAACGTCACAAAAAGCTTTTTTTTTCCACCTTTTGGTGACGTTACCAAACATCACAAAAGATTTTCTGATTGTGAAAAAATTAGTAATTTATAGTTTATTAATAATTGTTAATTAATTAATTGGGTAGGGATGTCACCAAATTTCTTTTTTTTGTGAAAATTTTTTCAAAATTATTATTGTTGCTAATTAACTTTTACATTTCTATCAATTAGTTTTAAAATTTCATTATAATTTTATATTTTATTAATAGTTATAGATTAACTAATTAATTAAGTAGAGATGTCAATGGATCCTCAATCCTAACCTTAATTACCTAAAAGTATCCTATACATAAGGGTGTAAATGGATCATATTAATCCGAGATCTAACCTTATTCTGTCAAACTCGGATCTCATAGTTTGGATCTTCAAATCGGATCGGATAAGATTCAATCATAAATCAAATTGGATTCGGATCACCCCTATCCGACCCAAGAAGATCTGATCCAAAATATATGTGATTTATTTATATAAATACATTTAATATATATCAATATATGTTATTTATTTATATTTCACTTTTGTAAGTATATTATATTATTTATTTTTTATAAAATAATGTATATATATGATCAAAATAGTTGACTTGTATTTTGTGTTTCTTTATTTAAATTGTTATATTTTATGTCTTTTAATAATTTATTTATTTATTTTTAAAAATCAGATCGAATCAGCATATCTGAATATTTGACGGTATCATCATATTCGAATTCAAATATACGTTTATAAGATCCAATACAACCGGATCTCTCCTTAGCGGTGTTAGATCAGGTTCAGATATACCTTGATTCAAATCCAATCCGGTCTGTTTGCATCCCTACCTACACCTAATCCATGGCCAAGTTGGTCGTGCCGCCTGCAGCCCGCGTGTTGGCACGTCCTATATGTACTATTTATATATAATAAATAATATATTATATAAATTATAATTATATAATAATATATTAATAAAATAAATAATTGTTTTCAATTTTATTATAGTAATTTATTTAATTATTGTATATATAAGCAATTGTATACATCAAAATTCATATAAAATTAAAAATTTAAGTTTTTTTTCATTTTTTTTAAATAAATAGGCAAAAATAACTTTGACCCAGTCCATGGCCCGGCTTGGCCCACGGGCCAGCCCGACCTACGACACGACACGACACGGCACGACACGGCATGGGCTCGCACGGGCTCGGGCCGTGAGCCATGCCAGGCCAACTCCAAAATATTCAAACAAATAAATAAATTTAACATTGATAAGTTTGGATGCCGACCCTGCCCTAGTGTCACAAGTGACTAGCCCCGTGACACCAGCCCACACCTAGAACCCGAACCTACGGTGGTTCAAATTTAAAAATAAAAACCTAATTAAAATTAATTGGCCCGCGCGCGGGAAGAAAGAGAAAGGGAGAGAACAGAGATGGAAAACCTTAGAATGAAGGAGAATAGAGCATTAGAAAAACAAAAACATAGAGAATGAAGGAGAGTATAGAGAGAGAGAGAGAGAGAGAGAGAGAGAGGAGGTGCTATTGCTGTTGCATTCATTGCAAGAAAGGGAGAACGAAGAGAAAGGGAGGTGCTGTAATCGCTGCTGCATTCAAGTCAGAAATATTAAAACCTAAAAATTTATTGGCTGAACAAAGAAGAGAAAGGAAGAGGAGGTATTTTTTACTCTGTTATTTCCGCTCTTGTTATGTTTTCTATTCTTTGTTCTCTTTCAAATGCACCGGAAAATATTAAAACCTAAAATTTTCGTTCTTTGTTTTTATCCTCCTCTTTATTAGTGGTAACTAAGATAATTAAATATTTCCAGATGTACTTTAGAGAGTAGATAATAAGAGATTGACTTTTGAGGGATTTGATTTCTTGAAAAAGAGAATCTCTGAAATATATTATAATGTTTTTTTCACCAACATAAATAGTTTTCTATAACTTGAAATTTCGTTTAATTTGTGATTGTTGTTTGACATTCTTATCACTTATTTTTGTTCAGGGTAGGCTACCAGTGGATTATAAGATTTCTTGCCCTTGGTTGTTATGCAATGCTACTTATTCCTAGTTTTATTCAAGGTGTGTTTTTTATGAGGCTTGGTTGCTTTGACATTTTTCATTCATCAGTGTTGGTCACTAGCAGCTCTTCTGGTCCCTATGATTGGCCATCGAATAATTTTTTTTTTTTTTTTTTATGAAAATTAGACCTTATGTGGGTCATAGTTCTTGTGTAGGATTTGCCTTTGTATATCTAATGTGTTTAGTTGTTGGCAGTTGGGTATTACTATTTTTTCTCAAGTCAGGTCCATAGAGGTATAGTTTATGGAGATCAACCAAGAAATAGGTATCTTTTATTTCTCTGGTTTATGTTCGTTTTCCGATTTATTGGATGCAATAACTTATATGTGCTTTTATATTTGAAGGATCCTGTCATAGATTGCTCACAAGTCATAATGCCATTTCTTTTTCTGCAGGCTTGATCTGTATTTACCTAAAAATAGCAATGGGAAAAATCAGTTGTGGCATTTGTAACAGGTGGAGCCTGGATTATTGGGTTAGTGCTTTTTAAAGCATGTATACCCTCTCTCTTATTTGTTTTTTGTTTTTAGGAGGGGTATTAGGGTAGCAATTATCAAAGATTTCTTGAGCACTTAATGACTAAATCCTAGAATGGAGTCAGAGCATGGAGTGAAATGGAATGATTGCAGTGCCAAGGTGGAAATGTCCAAAAACTTTGAGTGGACTGTGTACCCATGTGTCTATGGATATATGCAACTTATTATTTATAACTTGCAACTGATTGATAAAATTTTAGAAGAAGAATAATATCAATATTAAAGTTATAATAATTTGGAAGTATATATTAGTCATCTAGCATTTTATTTTTGGTTTGTTATTTTATTTCTAGGCTTATTTTCATTTTGATTTGGTTTAGTGCTGGTGGTCCATTGTTAATGATATCTTCCACAAGAGGATGGCTCCAGATGTAACTTGATCCGAAGAGAAAACCTTGTTAATTTTGAGCTTAAGAATCAAGACCAGCAATCTTGTCTTGTCACACTCACTAATAGCGGGTTGAGCACCTATAATGGACACATCGCATTCACCAATATAGTAGCATAGACCTGGTGGAAACTGTAAATTATAATCTCTAGAAACATAATGGGAAAGCAGCAGAAAAAATCCCCCTGTTGGTTTGTTCCATACATCTAGAATTCTATGTTCTACCAGTATTAGAAAACCCAAGGGTATCCATAATTTTCCAAATCCTGGAATTCTATGTTCCACCACTTGATGACCATTTTGCATTGTGTGATCTGTATTTGTTTGATATACCTACAAATCATCAGTATTTTGACCACATGAGTGACTGGGTGCTACTTCCAACCCCAAGAAAATGGTTTTTTTTTTTTAACTCCAAGATGTATATAGGGAGCATCTTGGTCCTTATCTTTTGACAAGAGTAGGTCTGCTATGACAGTCTCCGACAGTGCTGCCTACAAAAGAGTAAATGTTGTACTTAAATTAAACATTTTCATTCTATACACATGCAATTTCCTAAACATTTTCACAAAACACAACGAAGAAAGAATGAAGATAAATCTTTATCGTATTTTATTTGGAACTGGTGTCTTAAATACTTGTCCCTTATCATTGTTAGTATCCATGCATATAACTGTATTACAATTCTCATGGTTTTTATGTGCACAGAAATTTTCCTCAGGGGACTATCAGTGACATAGTGAAAGATGCTTCTCAAGGGATCTCATTTGTGTGCAATGATATTTCTGAATATGGAGGTGACCTCAATAGGTAAAACATTCTCATGCTTTATCATGTGAATTTCATTCTCACTGAATGCCACATTATCTTATTTATGTGCTACCATGTAGGATTTATTTTGAGACAATAAGCTGGTGCACATATTGCTTCTTGTGCCCTCCTGGAGCAAGCAATAAAAGAAGCTGGTGAAGGAGAGCACATCCTGGTGTGTTTCGTAGATAAAAGCTTATTTCGATTAGTCTGGAGGGTAAATATTCACTGATGTTCTTGCCATTAATTTCTATGTTTGTCTGTGTTGGTTTTCTGATGCAAGTTACTTCCTAATTATGTAAACTTGTAAGTCCTCCTTTGTTCCATTTACCCCATTTTCTTCTTTTTTTTTAATCATTGAACAAGAACTGTACAACTTGAGTTGACGAAGTACAAACCTCTCATTTTGCACAAAGTATCTGTATCAGATAGAACCAACATGGGTATGGGAACTCACATATGTCAAATCCACAAAACTTGTATCCCTTTTCCAATGTCAAGTTTTGATGTATTGGCTACATATCCACTTAATTGGATGCGCACCTAGTAGAAATTACCAATGGTTATATCATTAAAGATATGGTTGCAATTAACAGTTGAGACTTGCGCATGTTTCAATTGCTGACAAGGAATTTCCTTTTAACATCGAGCAGTGGATTTCCAGCCTGTTGTTTCATTTTAGGGTTTTAAATTGCCATGCTATAAGTTCATTTGTTGCATTTTTTTTTTTTGGTTGTTTAGATTTCATTTTTTCTTCTAATATCAATAATTGAATGTATCAAGTTAAACATAACTTGTGTGAATGATTGAAAATTAAACTCTTATTGTCCAAATGATGATATGCCCAAAATTTCATACCAATTTTTAGACCAGATGAGGCTTAGTTGAGTTCCCTTATAACAACGTTTTTGGGGTCATACATATATGAATCCTAGTCACGATTCACATGCTCTCACCTGGCACTTGCACCAGAACTCATGCAACTTAAAAACGAATAATAGTTGTTGCTCTATACTTAAATTGTTCAGGCAAACATTGAATGTGGCAAATAGGTGACTAGGATCATCAAACAAAAATTATTTGCAGACAATCTCCCAACTGGAACCCATTTAATTGTAGATCTTGCTCCTTTTGCATGTGCTCATGTATATGGTATATGACTGAAAGAATACCCAAATATCCCTTTGTATGTTGAACTCATGTAGAAGTATTTCTCTTTCATTCAATAATTGATCTCATAGAAATTATAGTTTTGAGATGCCATTATAGGATCCAAGCCTGAAGTAATGGTGCATGATCCAAGCCTTAAAACTGCAGTTTCTCTCCTTCCTCGTATTATCCTTTTCCATGGGACTGCAGATTATTCCATACCATCAGATTCTGAGTTATTAGTCTCCTGAAATTAACTTTTTGATATTGTCAAAATAGTTTGATGTTAATTTCACATATGATTAGATGTTTATTCAAGCTTATAGGTTACTTGGCTATTGCTCCCATGAATATGTAATTTCCTATCATTCCTGTTGCTATTGATTAATACCCCTATTCTAAGTTTTTCTGACTTATTCCAACTTAAAGACTATTAAAGGGAAACTGAAGTATCTTTTGAAGAATGAAAAAATACATAAGTATAGTTCATGTATAGATATTGTAGATTGAACCTGCAAAATGAAAACTGCTAAAACAAAAATAAAGATCATCCAAACATGAATTGAGCATGAAAAAGAAGATTTGGGTGTTATATCCCTGAATCTATTAGTCACAGATAGACAAGAATGCATTGTTCTGCTGCCTTCTAAGCATCATCTTCTGTGAGAAATGTTCTCAAATATACACATTTCTTTCAGGCCAAATTGGCCATTTAATTGCAAAGAGAAGGATTCTCCAGTTAACCTTGCTTCTTTTACTTAAATCATTAATTTTGCCATTCCTATAATAGGTTGTGGATGAAGAGAAACCAACTAAGATGTAGTGGGTTCAAAAATATATTATTTGAAAGTGGAGCTTAAAGAGAATTGCATAAATAGATGTTTTGATCAGAGAAGTTTCCATACATTCTCAACAATTTGACTCTTGTAAGGTACTTACCCAAGATTGTTCTCCATAGTGTCCACACCATAAGTAACACCTTAAAGAAACATTAAGATTTATTAAATAAACCACATCATCCAACTTGAGAAACATTCAGATTTATTCCTCATTATTATAAAGGATATCAGTTTGAAGCCTCCTCTCCCACTTACCTTTTGACATGGTCTTTACAACTATTTTTTCTTTTAAAAGATATACATGAAAATACAAGAATGTTGGAAAGAAATTGCTCATGAATTAAAAATGATGATGTTTCTCTTGTGCAGAATCATAGGTTGGAAAACACTTTTGTTCCACTTAGAGATCTTCATTCCCTTGATGCAGTTCCATTATCAAACTTGGTATGATAAGTCAAATTGAACTTTATGTTTATACTTGCCACAAAAATTATATTTATACTTCCATATCTTTTGGCAAAAAAATAACATCATTATTTTGTCTTTTGTAGGATATCAAGCATATACTTGGGACAAGGTCCTTTCATGCACATGCAACGACTAAGGAGAGGGAGAATGCCAATGCAAAGGGGAAATTCCTTCGAACGATATATTCTTCTTTATTTATATATTCTTTTATAAATGTTTAAATGTAAGTAATTTTTTATTAACTATAATTTTGATGTTTAATTGTTATATTTTAATATATATTTATTTTGTTAACTAAATAATTATATGGATGAATGTGATGGATTAAGTGTAAAGCAGGTAATGTAAAATCACTGGGATACCAAACAAAGAAAAATGGAGAGAAAAAAGGAATTCAGCTTTTGGTGACGTTTAGTAAACATCACCAAAGGTGTTACAAACAAAACAAAAGGTGCAATTTTGGTGATGTTTAGCAAACATCACCTGTATTTATTGTGACGTTTATGAATGTCACCAAAATAAAGAATTAAGCGTCACCAAATCTATATTTAGTAACTCTTGAAAACTTTTGGTGACATTTTGCAAACATCACCAAAAGAGGTGTTTTTCGTGACGTTTCAAAAAATGTCACAAAAATAAACAAATAAATGTCACCAAAATTGTGCATAGATGACTCTTGGAAACTTTTAGTGACGTTTGCAAAATGTCACCATAACTAATGTAAACGTCACAAAAACCTTTACCGACATTACATTTGGTGACAGGGGAGCAAACGTCACGAAAACGTTTTTGTGATGTTTGTTTAATCTTTGGTGACGTTTGTCTAATGTCACAAATATACATTTTTTTTGTAGTGGGTCTAGGACGAAAGGGGCTTTTGATGATGGTTTCTTGAGGTTTTAGAGTTGTAATTCGTCAAATTTGCTAGCGTCTGTGACATACGAGGTATAGTTTTCGTCAGATTTGCTAGCTGTAATTCATTGGACGTAAATGCAATGGGGTGATGGCAAGTGGTGTATTAAATAGTCATGTGTGAGTGGTGTGGTAAGGCTAAGTATGGTGGTCTCCTTGAAGGATGAAGAAAGGATGGGAGCAAGGGTAGACTATGAGCTTCTATTGACAGGGTTGTGTTTCCGTTATAATTCATACCTCCTTTTATAAGGAGAGATCCTGAGGTCCTTAAGGAAAGGAACCAAAAGGATTTGATTCCTATTTGGAAAGGGGATCTTTGATTCGGTGTCGATTGTTAGAGGAGTATTGCTAAGGGTTCGCCACGTGTCTTGTGAGATTTCTCCAAAACGAAATTTCCTTTCGTCTAAAGATTCTCATAATACATGTGTGTTGTTTCCTTTTGCGGGTCTCCTATACTGACATGGCATGGGTGACGTCAAGGCTAGTCTGACGTTTCCTACTTAATCCTACTAGATGTCCTATCATGAGCGATTTTGGCTAATCGTTGTATTTTCATTAATCGCCAATCTACGATGGCTTTGAACTCATTGTAGGTCTGCTGTGGCTTTGAGCTCATCGTAGGTTTGTGATGGTTTTGAGCTCATCACAGATCTGTGGTAGCTTTGAGCTCATTGCAGGTTCATACTGAGTTGTGAACTCGCCGCATGTGTTTGTAGCTTTGGTTTGGTATCTTCATTGCCATCGTGGTCATGGTGAACAACATGTACATACACCATGAATTAAGAGAGACCTTAGACCAAAGAACTTATCTAAGGGCCCGTTTGGCGCGTCTTTTTGAGAAGATCTTGTAACTCTGATAGTCAAAAGATACATTGAGATTTTGGCATAAGATCTGGGCAGCCTGAAGACAGTTTGATAGATGCACGTCTTTTTGTGCATCTGCCCACGTCTTTTTGCGCAAGATTAAAACGCGAAAGACGCGGGAAGCTTCATTTGAAGCTTCTCAAAATCAGCCTGAAATGGGCTTCTCGTGTCTTTTCGGCGCATTGCCTTTTGGCGGCTAAATCTTCCGCGAGCCAAACAGGAATAGACCAAAAATTGGTCTTCCCAACATATAAACAACCGAAAGACCACACGGAAAGATGCGCCAAATGGTCCCTAATTTAAATGCTTGTAAAACGGGTCTCACCTCTACGTACCATAGAGGGAAAGAAAGTCCAAGAAGTTTTAAGATGGTAAGCTCAGAGCCACAAACCAGCCAGGGATGACTCCTACTAGACCTGTTCATGGGCTGGGCCGGGCCGGGCTCGGGCCGGGCTTTTACTCTTCATTAATGAAAATTTGTTAGGCCCGAGCCTGAGCCCAAAGCCCGATTGTGTTCGCCGATGAATGTGTTCACCGGTGATTGTGTTCGCCGGAATTGAGTTCGCGGTGACTGTGGTCTGTGAGCTGGGAGCCTACGACCTGCGATTTTAAGTTTAACAATGATCAGTTCGCATCTAAGAGAGAGAGAGAGAGAGAGAGAGAAAGAAAGAGAGAGAGAATTCTCCGCCGCAGCCGGTGCCTATATTCGCCGCCTCGCCGTCGCCGGTGTCTGAGATTTGAAAGAGAAGTGAGATTTGAGAAGAGGAACGAGAGTCAAGAGAAAAAGAAAGAAAGAGAGAGAGAGAGAGAGAAGGAGAGGAGTGAGGACTTACCACCGGAGTTGTTGCGCCGGTGAACGTTCGCCGCCTCACCGGCTGCCTGAGAGTGTGAGGATGAGAAGTTGAGAACTGTGGAGGATGTGGAGACTGGAGAAGAATAGTTCGGCTGGAAAAAGAAAGGAAAGAGGCAAAGAGGTTAAAAAAAGAGGAGGTCTTCAATTAGGGTTTTTAGGTTTAGTTATAGGTCGGGTCGGGTCGGGCTCGGGCCGGGCTATTTTGGCAAATCCCGAGCCCAGCTTGAATTTATTGTGGGCCGGGCTTTTTGGCCCGAGGTTAAGCCCGCGGGCCCATATGCGTGTTCAAGCCTGTTCGGGGGCCTCCTTGTAAGAAATCTAACTCTTCGAAATCCACCGAAGACAATAACAAGTTGGTTGCAGAAATTGATCCAGAGCTTAGATACAGCTAGCAGTGTTCAGCATTGACACCATTGTGAAAGAAGAGAGGGAATGAGAGAGAAAGAAAGAAAACTCTTTCAAGAGAAAAGGATCGTGGCACTAGAATTGCAAGAAACCCAGATAAGAAAAGCAAGAGTAGGTAAACCAGGCCCAACAAATTAAAAATCTGGGATTTTCATGTTTTGAGTTCTCGTGATCTTTCGAGGTGGCTATGGAGTTCCATAATTCAACAGAGGTCCCTATTTTCCGCCTTGGAACTTCTGCTGCAAGTGGCGTCGCTGATACCGATTTCGCACTATGTATTGGGATCTCTATTTGTTGTGATTGTATTTTGGCTATGGAGTTCCGGAATTCAACAGAGGTTCCTGATTTCGCGTTGGAGCTTCTGCTGCAAGCGGCGTCGCTGATACCGATTTCGCACCATTTACAGGGATCTCTCTTCGTTTTAGTGGTATTTTTGTATATTTTCTTGGAGTTTCATTTTGTTAGAGATCTCTTGCATGGTTTTAGGGGGGATCAAAAGAGGGAATGAGAAAAAGAGCAAGAAGAAGAAGAGGTGGTGGAGAAATGCTCACCTTTCCTGGAAATGGAAGTGGACCAGCGATGCAAGGCCCAGTAACGGTCAGGACGGTGTCTATTGCTGGAACCGGGTTTGCAGGGGAGCAATATCTGGGCTGCTGTACATAATAGAGAGCATAAGCGGGTCGACCACGCGATCCACCACACCTTTTTCACTCTGCTCTCGTTTCAAGGTTGAGGACGATGAATAGTTCATAAGAAGGGTATTTTGGGAATTTAAAAAATATTAATCATGTCACATATGACAGGAGTGTAAGGGAAACAGTAGGGAAAATGTAAAGGTAAAGTTATTCAATTAACTAAAACATAAGGATAATTTAAGAAATTAGCTTATTAATATATTATACCATATATATACAGATATGGTACATATTATATAATATTTACCATTAGACTTGTTCATGTGTGGGCTTGGTGTGAATCCAAGCTAGGCCTAGCCTAGAAGAAAATAACCAGCTTAACCCAAAAATTGAACTTTATAACATCCCCAAGTAAAATAGCCTTATTACATTTCCAATTGAGTCATTATTGTTTTATTATATTAATTAAATTTTATTATTTTTATATGAAATGCAAATGGTTTGCTTTTACTACTTTTATTATTAATTTTAATTTTTCTATCAATATTAGTTATTTTTAAATGGAATTCAAATGTATTTTAATTTTAGATTGAATTACTACTTTTATTAATCACTTAATTTTTTTAGTGGAGCTCCTTTTTATTAACTTTACTAGTTTTTATTTGTTGAACTCAATCACGTAATACAATGTAATGCTTTCAACCTATCATTGAACAAGACGGTTGAACCATCACCCTACCACGATTCTAGGTCCGGTTCTCCTAAACCTAGGGATTGTTAGAAATCCACTAACATGGACAAAAAACATTCAACCTAGGACATTGAACCATTGACCCATTTGACCCGGTCACTAGGCCACAAGTTGCACACTAAATGTGTATACAAACTTCGAGAGGCCATAAATTTGTGTTTACAAACATACCCTCCCTTGCGGGCTAGGATAGGCCTGCATTGAACTTGAAGAATTAGGCCCATGCTCGACACTAAAATTTGTGCACCTGATGCAATCCCAAGTTGAGTTGAAATGATCACCCCTAGTAGGGGTGTTCATAAAAAACCGAAAAACCGAACCGAATAGAGTAAGCCGAATCGCAAAATGCAGTTAATTGAACCAATCAGTTCGGAATTTTTGAAAAACTGAAGGATTGGTTCGGTTTTTAGTTAACCTACAAAAAAACCAATGGTTAACCGAACCGACCAGTATATATATTTTATATATTTTTAATATATGTCACATATTTTCTATGTATTATATATAAATATATAATCATTATATATATAAATATATACTTATATTATAATTATAATGATCTATTTATAAATATATTATATATTTTTCAAATATTTATAATATATTATATATCATTTATTATTTATTATATAATATTATACATATATTTGTATAATATATGCTATAAATATAAAAAACCAAAAAATTGAAGAACCGAATCGGTCAAAAACCAAAACTGGCAAACCGATTAACCAATGACACTGATTCGATTTCAGTTTAGAGAATTGGGAAAACCAGTACCACTGGTTTGATTTACAAAAAAGTGCCATGGTTCAATTAACCGAACCGTGGACACCCCTAATCCGTAGGGGTGATCATGGGTTGGGTCGAGCCTAAGTCAGGCTTTACACCTATAATAAGGGCTATAGACTTGGCTTGGGGTCGAGCATACATAGGCCTAGGTCAGGCTTGATTCTAGGCCTGTCTTTTATATATATAAAATATTTCAATTATATAGTATTTTATATTGAATAGCATATAAAAAAAGAAATTAGAGCCAACTAATTTTTTGTTATTTAGTGGAATAATTGAGAAGGGAGAGTAATAGTGGAGCGAATTATTGAAGGAGAAAGAGTTAATTGTATGATTAACGTGGAAAGAATCAAAGGAATTAATGAAAAAGAGAAGATCAAAGAAGAGAGATGAAAGTCTTAAAGATGATGGACTAGTTGAATTGTTTTGTTCAATTTTTACAGAAAAAAAATAAAAATAAAAAACCACATAATTCGAAGCGAGAGAGACTATCTGGTTAATTCTTTGAATCCCCACCTCTTCTCTTTTGTTTACAGTATCAGCTACATTTAATTTTAAGCTTCAATCCTTATCTTGGATTCTATGATTCTATCAACGAGGGGATCTAGATGCCCAATAATCAATCCAGAACTAGATCTGCATAACAGGATAGTACTTTCTATTGACATGCATGACTCTGAGTGAATAAGGTTGTGTTTGCTACTGTTGGTGTTCCTATATGCAATGTTTTGAGTTAAAACACTGTTTGGCATCATATCAAAACAGCATTGACCAATCAAAACCCCATGAATTTGGATAAAATCCCATCACCGTTTCAACGGCACCATGATTGAACCCCACATTTTACACTTGAAACACAGTACCACTGTTTGTACATATGTGATCCCGGTTGATGGGTTATAAGTTTTTTTTTTTTTTTTCTTGGTATAGTCTTTCAGGGCATCATGATCAAACATTACTTTTTATACTTGAAACACAAAGACCACTGTACTATCAATGCTGATTGGTGAAACTTTGCTTGTTACAGCTAGAAACATAAAATTGATGTTTCTTGAAAGTTGAAACAGCCCCTAAGATGATTTTCCACGTAAAGTATTTTATGACTGTTTTATGTCAAAACAGACTCCAACCAAATAGAAAACTTACCCTTAACTCAAATTTCCTACTTGCACTGATGTGGCGGCATGTATACTTGAAATGCTACAGTAGCAAACAGCCCGTTTGGGAAGGGTGCAAATACAAATATGTACAATGCAAAATCTTGTATACAGTATTTCTAGACCTTGTATTTGCATTGTAAGAATACAATGTACAGTGTAAAACCTTGTATACTTCATTTCTAAACCCTGTATTTTCGCTATACATATTTGTATTTGATGTATGTCATTTTTTCTCCCAACTACATAATATTTTTCTAAGTAACAACCAATCTACATAACATTTTTCTCTTCAATGTCTACTCCAACGCAATGGGTTCGACTATGATGCTGAAAAGACATGATACCTGAAAAAACCATAACCAATCACTGGCAAGCATCACAAAAGTGGTAGCCAATCAGGTGGGTTTTCATCAAAATTTACAGGGGCGTTTGATTGGTCAAAGCCTTTCCGGTATTATGTCATTACAGCATCATAGATTCATAGGCTTTCCTTTTCAAGTATATGATGTTAGAATCCTTTTACCCAAAAAGAAATAATAAAAACAAGTATATGATGTTAGAATTCAAAATTTTCTAATTCCAATTTTCATGTCAATATGCATGTGATATTGCCTGTAGGAGCAATGCATCCAAGGCAACCTTAGCATTTTAAATAAAAAGAAGCATGGGCAACAATGGTAATTACAATTTCCTTTCTTTCAGTTGTGTGGCTAGCAGTTAAACAGGGCAGGGACCAAGTGCAGAAAGCAAAAGTAAATAAACTACAACTTTGAAGATGAAGGACGAGTTAGAACCATGGTTCAAAGTATGGCCACACTCGATATTCCTTTTTCATGCATAAAGAGCATGTAAAAACATTGATACTCCCACAACATTTTAATTTCACCTGTCAATTAATTAAAAAAAAAACAGATATTAAACTTTGGAAATTAACATTAACCCTCATATTTCATGTATCGGCAACCTCACAAACAGATGTATGACACATGAATACTTTGAACCAAGGATAAAACTCCCCCTCCCCCCCTCCAATTCTCTTAATGTAAGGACCATTCACAAACATTAGTATGATGTAGCAAACTTGTTCATTTAAACAAATCTTAAGAAAAGAGATTGCTTATAATAAGACAGGTTCTAACAGACAAATTGATGCCTACCCATTCCAAACATACTCAATTATGACATCTTCACAAGCCCCTCACATTTGGGGATAAATTCAGACTTGATCCTTTTAACTTTTATCTTTAATCATCTATAAACGGAAACTAAAAGCAAAACTTGTAGTAAGTTTAAGTGTCTGTACATAAAACCATACATGATAACTAAAAGATGATCAATGAGAACACAAGACCTTACCACTCACTCCTATCACAAAAGCATTGTTGAATGCTGGTTCTCATTGCTGCCAATGTCATCCAACATACAGCACTCCAAGTAGAAATACTGATGAATGCTAGTAACAATCGTGTCCATAAATAGCAAATTCTGAGTGATGCCTATTAAGGATATCATGCCGAAGAGGACCTTGATAATGCAGTTGAATGACCAAAATAACACCTTTTGCATGGTTCAGCAATCAAGGAACTCGATTACAAACTAAACATAACCTCTCTATAATCTTCAACATCTGGAATGGTTGTTTGAACTATGAAGGTTCTTCAGAAAGGAGACATAATATGTGATGAACCTTCTCATATGCATCACATGAAAAGAGGAACACCAGATTCTTCAGAAGAGGAAGGCTGTAAGGAACGAATTTTGACATCATACTTTCGACAAAAGGAAACCCCACTCCCTGAGCTTGAATCTGATCCATCTGGTACAGAGGGGTAAGAGAAAGTATTGTCTTCATAAGCATGACCAACAAGGTTCCCACATTTACGACACAGAAGTTTTGTTCTTCGGCGGAGCAAACCCCATGAGTGCTTGGAGATGTAGTATGGCATGCATTGGAGCTCATCAACTTGAGTGAATCTGCTTTCATCAATTGATAAGAATGATATAATCCCTCTCTTTATGGACTTCCCATATTTTGATCCTATTTTCGATGTATTACGGTTGGATGAGCTCAAATTTAATGCATACCCACAGGAACCACAGCTGTATAACATTGGCAATGGTTTATTACTACAGATTAAGAGCAACCACCCATATAACTATCTATTCTGAATAAACGGAATAGACAAAATAATTTACATAATAACAAAATTACAACAAGTTAGGAGAATGAGCAAGTAATTGAAAGAGAAGCATTGGTTCCAAAAACCCCTACCAAGAAACAAGAGAAAAAAAACACAGACACAAACAAGTTGTAGTGAAATCAAGCCCATTTTACTCAAATTTCTAGTTCTCAAATATTTTGAATCACAACCAATTGAAACAGCCCTAAACAAGTAGATTAGTAGTTTAAAAGGTCAGAAAAGATTATGAGACTTTTCAATCCAGCCAATCACATCAGTACCTGATTCTTCAGTCACGAACTAGTGAAATGAAATCAACTATCGACCAGATCTCTTCAAAGGAGTTTAATTTCAATCATTTAACCATTAGCAATCACTCTGTTGAAGAATTTAGAACGTATTTACCATGTCTTCCAGAACACCCAAAGAAAAGTACTCAGACAAGATTCAAATAGTGTTATTTAGGAAGGAAGGATGAGACCAATTAAACAAATTAATTGTGCTTAGTAAGCCTTATTTGCTAAACCCGAAGTCATAAAAAGTTTAGTGAATCACATGCTAATTATCTCGTTTTCTGTCAACCCCACCACGCAATTATGTTATATCAAAGAATACCAATCAAACCCGCTCCAGAGTTTCAGAAACTTCAATGAAAACTTTCTCTATGAGCTTTTCGATCATTAGAAGACTCGATTAGCCAAAAAGGTCACTCTTTTAAGGATCTTGTAGGACAATTAACTGAAACTTACAAAATCAAGTTTAGATGCTGCACTTGAAATAGGTTATCTGAATCTAAACCCCAATCACCAATTCATCAAACAGTTATCTTTCAATACTGGGTCTGAATTCTACAGTGCAAACAAGCCCTAAAAATCAAAAACCCTTTTCCCATTAACGAAAACAAAATACAAAACCCAATAAAACAGACCAAAATGATACACGATCGAAGTGTTTAACCAGTCTATCAGGTTAAGAAGAAATAGTGGCGGAAACAGGAAGAACCTAACCTGTAACTCACATCTCTCATGGACGAAGAGAAGGAAAGATTTTGACTTCCATTAGAATAACTGTCCCCAAGAAACATCTGATACTTCCCTTTATCTTCAGAAGGCAACGACGACGGCGACGAGACAGAGAACATCCGGTTGCAAGCGACGGAGGAGTAAAGCTTTATAAACTAGAAAGCGAAATCCGGAACTCTCGATTGGACCACGAAGTGGAGATGTGGTTTGATCGTGCCGACGAAATCGGACGTGGGAATCGATTATCTGGCGGCTTGGATCGAATCAAAGATCAAAAACAGTGGAATTGAGAGCTTTTGGACTACAATAAGTGTAAAGGAAAAAAGGAAAGTCGTTTGCCTTCGTTGCTTTCAGTGTCTCGGGCGCGGCTTTCAGTGTCTCTATCTGTTTGCAGGGTCCAACGGACAAATGATGGGAAAACGTGAAGTCTGACGTACACGTGTTGCCACGTGTCAGGCAGATGAGGGTTCTTTGGTCCCACATGAAAGGTATTTCACTATTTCTATTATGAACTATGAAGTCAATACTCAAGATTAAATGAGAGCCGTTAGATTTTACTTTCTTCCAAGATATTCAGATCAAATGGTATATATAGCTTATGCATACGTTACATATTATTTATTGATTTTACGATTTAAATATATGATGCATCTTATCAATGTCTGCAGTTATGATCAAGTGGTTGGTAGACCATAAGAACAGTGTATCAATGATTTGAACAGGAATTTTATTTCTTGATTTATTGTACCTAAAAACCCAATCTGGATGCCGATCACAGTTTAACACACCAGTGTTTACTGTGGGCCTTATGTGGGACCCAGCTGTAATGAACACTGGCGTGTTCAACAGTGATAGGTCGTTCAGCTGTGTGTGTATGTTTTTGTCTCCAGTTAATCCGCTCCCCTAAAAATCAATCTCGACTTGAATTCAAATGGATTGTGTCGGATTCGAATCAGGGTATATTCGAATCCGACCCAATAGCAGAATTTAAGATGATCTCATAAATATGATTCAAATTCAAATCCATTAATGGTGTTGAATATCCGAATATGATTGAATCTAATTCAAATTATGAAAATTTTAATAAATTATTAAAAGAAAAAAACATAAAAATTTATATAAAAAAACAAAATACAAGTATTTTTCAATTTTTTTCGTACCACTCTGTGAGCTCAAGTTGCGGCTTCCACTCATTTCAACTACAGGAACGTAATTAGGAGAATGAGAACCACCTAGTAGCTGCCAAAAAAAAACCACTTGGATTGTGCAGGTTCAAAACTATCCCTAAGGATCTTCTAGCCTCTGATATCAATGCCTTAAAAGACCTCTCATCCCTTTGTGACTTAACTGGGAAGACCTGCTTAAATGCCCTTTAGTGGAGAAGGAAAGAGACATCGCTAGTTTTCCGTGGGGAGGTAAAAAGAAAGGATGGTGAGGCTATAGATCCAGTTTCATTAGAGTTAGTGTTGGAAACACTTCTGATACTGTTCAATTTGAGATAGTTCTTGAACTGAGGTCGTAGTCAATTGGACAGAGTTGAGGTAGAAGAACAAAGCCGTGCTTCAAGATCTGAAACCAAGAAAGTGGTTAGAGGCCCGAGGAATTATCTTTGGGTAGGTGCTCCGATACTCAAGTTAGTCGGGAATGGTAGGTGGTCGGGCAGAGCAGCTAGATAACGGTGCTGGTCCGAGCAAAGTAACGATATGGTAGTCAAAAGTTTGATCCCTTACCTTGAGAGAGAGGTACATTTTCATAGTCGAAGATCCGTGTCCTAATCGGATGAGGCTTCCGGGGTTGTTGGGATGAGGTTGCCCGCCGAGGTCTTTGGGTTAAGACCTAATCCCCAGCGAAGTTGTCCTCATCCATATAACGATCTCCTGTCTTGGTCGCGCTTATCCATATGACGCGGTGCTAACGTGGCCGAAGTGACAAGGCGGCCGCGGAAGTGGCACGTGGAACCCGGCTACAGTGTGACGTGGAAGAGCTCTTCGGCCCTAAACTGAGGAACTCAAGTCTGAAGTTGGTTTAGTGCGCTATCTGAGCGGAGGGCCTTGGAATTGAACCAGTTTTTTGGACGAACCACCCAGCTCGATGCTCGCGTCATGCTAACGAAGCGACGTTTCGCCTTCCCGAGCCTACACACATGCACATGTCAGTGGCGTAGTTTCATCTTCCCGAGCTGTCAGAGGGCAGCATTTGATCTACACTATTGATCTGGACCATTGGGAGCCCTATAAGAGGGGGTGAAGAGCATTTCCCCTTTGTCATTTCCGAAGGGAACACTTGCAAAGCTCGGCAAAAAGTAGTGTTCGGCTCGGTTGTTGCTTCAATTCCGCGGTCTTAACTTAAAAAGTTCGGTAAGATGCCTTCGTCGTCTGTTGACTTCTCCCGATCTTCTTCCTCTTCTTCCACTTCCTCTTCCTTTGCTACATTTTCTAGTAGTGAGTCCGAGTCGGGGTCTCTCGTCGAGGCTTCCGCACTCAATACTCGTGAGGCTGATAGCCAGGGGGCTAAGAGGCCAAGGATTTTAAGGCTTTTGATCCTGAGCAGGTCGCTGAGTGCGAGGCCAAGGCCTGGGGCATCGAGGCCGAGGCGTCGACTAGGAGGGAGGCTGTCCTCCCTCCGTGGGCTAGTTGCCGATTTGGAACCATGCTGTGTTGTTTGAATCCTGGGGACATGGCTCTAATCCGAGCTTTGTATTGCATTTTGCAGGGGTACGAACTTAGGTGCCAAAGAGTTGGCGAGCTCTGTGCATACGAGCACAGCCTGATAGCCAGGCTGAGATTTCCGTTGAGTGAGGGAGTCATCGAGGTGTTTAGGTTGTATCGAGTACTTCCTGTCCAACTGATGTCGAACTCCTTTAGGTTCCTGATTGGCCTTTTGTCCTATTGTTTCAACCACGACCTCAAGATTACCTTGGGGATGGTTTCCTATTTCCTTCAGTTGAAGCACCACCAGTAGGGGTATTATTACTTCTCGGCAGGGGTACTATTACTTCTCGGCTCAGCAACGGATCAAGGTGTTGGTTGGGACCCGTCTTCGGTGAAGCATTGGAAGGAGTTCTTCTTTGTGCATTGTTCTGGAGGCTCACCTCTACCGTCCGAGCTCCAGAAGCCAAGGACCAAGGTGAAGCAATCCAAGCTGGCCCAACTCACCGAGGAAGAGAGGGCGTCGATAGGGAAGATCGAAGAGGTCAATGTGATGGATTACACATCCTTCTTGAAGTTGATCGATGCCAGGCTAATGAGTCAGGAGGCTGGTTTTTTTGTCGCTCTGGATTTGCCGATCTCTTCTTTTTTGAGCTTTTGACTTGTACTGATCAATTGTTTGTCTTGGTGTAGGTGCTGAAATGGCAAGTCGTGAGGAGATCGCCCGTCGTAGGGCTCAGAGGACTTAGCTCCGTCCCAAAGAGATACAACCAAGGTCTGTAGAGCGCACTCCTCAACAACAAAAGAGGTCGAGGCAGGCCGATTAGAAGGTAGTGGTAGTTGACACCGAGGAGAGTACCCAGGCCGCCCACTCCCCTTTTCCGCAAGGCAATGTTCCCAAGGGCGGAAATCCCACCGTTTACATTCCGCGGTGGAACGTTTGGCCCAAGGATAGGCTGGAGACGAAGGGCATCCCCAAGCAACTGCTTCAGGGTCTGCTGACCCCGACCATCAGGCATGAACTGGTTGGGTCTTCAAGTGGTGTTCTAGAGAGCGCGCTTTTGCGCCAGGCTAGTGCGGTAAGTCTTCTTGCTCCTTAGTCACTTAGTATTGGCTAGTTACTTCTGTTGTGCTAACATCTGATCCCATTTTGTAGAATTCCTGTTCGGTGATGGCCGTGGTCGAGCACCTTCGGATGGTGCTATGCCTCTATGAGGTAGGGCAGGCTGAGTTGGAGTGCTCAAGGGCTTTATTGGCTGAGCTTAAGGCTGTGAGGGCTCAGTTGGCCGAGCTCGAGGGTGAGAATGCCGAATTAAAGTGTGGCATTGAAGAGCAATCTAACACTATTCGCAAGCTGAAAGGGCTGTGTCACCAACCTCAAGAGTGAGCGAGAGGCGCTGAAGAAGGAGTCCACCGAGTAGGTGGCCCAGGCCAAGGAGGAGGCAGTTGCCAGGTTTAAGGCTTCCCAGGAGTACCAGCATGAGATAGATGACTTTGCCTCGCACTCCTGGGAGGCGGGGTTCTACCTCTGTCGGGACAACGTTCTGGGCCGACTTCCCGATGCCACCAAGGTCGTGCAGGCCTTGGGCCCTTATGATCCTAATATGCCTGCTGAAGGCGACATTACTACCGTTGAAGTACCCAAGGAGGCTGAAGAGGCTAAGGAGTGAAGTGGGATTGCCACTGTTGTTCTTGTTTTTGTTCCTGTCCTGCCCTATTAGTGTTGTTTCTTTTTTTTTTCTTTTTTTTGTTGATGTACTCAGCTCGGTATGCTGAGCTTTACACTTGTAAATATTTATGAAATTAATGAAAAACACTTTTTCGTTCCAAGCTTGTGTATCACGCCTTCTTTCTTTAACTTTGTTGAACCTAGTTGTAAGCCTCGGTCTTATCTTGGCCAAGGTCCGGGGTAGCCGAGATCTTCAGTCTTTGGCTTTCTTGGTCGAAGTTTTTTCCGAGCTCTCATCACTAGGGGGATGCGTTGTAGGCTCTAGCCGTTTAAGGGTCAGCCGAGTCAGTGCACGGGCGCCCCAACTGTTGAGAGTTTGGCTGGACTACATGTGTTGCATGGCGTGCGTTGTGTGGTGTGTCGTGTAGCGTGTGTCATGCAGTGTGTGTTGAACAGTTGAGTGCCAAAAAATTCTGTCTTTATTGATCTTGAACTACTGGTAGTACATTCTCAGATTCCCAGCATTCCAACTCCTCGGTATAGGCCTTCCGTCAAGGTCTTCTAGTCTGTAAGTACCGGGTCCGAGGACTTTGGTGACTCTGTACGGTCCTTCCAAGTTCGGTCCGAGCTTTCCTTCTCCCAGCGTGGGTACTATGACTTTGCGAAGAACGAGGTCACCAGTCTTGAACTTTCTTCTTCGGACTTTGGAGTCGTAGTACTTGGCCATTCTTTGTTCTATTCCTCGTCATAGAACTTGGTTCGGAGAGTTAGCGAGCCTACCTCTACGAGGATCATGTCTTTGGCCCTATATGTTAGGCTGAAGGGCGTCTCTCCGGTGGCTGTCCACGGTGTAGTTCTGTGGTTGGTCAAGTCTGGTCTTCAGGCCGTGTAGTAGGGTTCAATTGGTCACTTTGGTTTGTCCATTGCTCTGAGGTTGGAGAACAGTTGTGATCTGGTGGTTGATCATCAGGTCAGCGCAGAAGGCTTTGAACTTTCGATCAGTGAACTATGCACCGTTGTCGATGATGAGAACCCGAGGAACCTCTTTTTCC